ATTGCTTGTCTTGTGTATGAAATGACTGGTTATGTTAAAAATCTTGAGGGAGTCTAAATTTGATTAAGAACTGTTGTATGAAATGTACAAAAGCTCAATAATTTTTTTTTAAAATACAAAATCATTTAAAATTTTTAAAATATATTTTATTTATTATTTTTAGTTTATGAGTATATTGCCTGCATGTATGTGAGTGCGTCTGTGTCGTGCAATGTTGCAGCATGGAATAGTAATTTTATAAATTTTAGACATTGAGTTGGAGATTTTTTATTGTTTCAGGTTCATTATCCTGTTCTATGTATTTGGTCAAGTTTTTTAAGATTGCTAATCTTTCCTTTAGCAATATAGAAAAAATGTTTTAGCATCACATTATTCTTGTGACAACTACTTGTGTAGTAAGTCCATTCAGACACTGTGCAGTCCTGATTAGGAGTAAAACTAATTTCACAGTGATTAAAACATTATTAGTTTTTTTTCAAATTAGACTTGAAATTGGGTGAAATCTACTGCTATTGTTAAGAGGATATATATTAAGTCCTACTTATCTGAAAAACATTGTACTCACGAAGGATCATTGATGACTGTCTTCACAGCATTGAGCAGATCTGAACTTGACATTGTAAGGAAGTCCACTCTAACACCGGCTCCTTTGCTCTTCATGCGAACAACATTATCAGGTTGATCACCAAACAAGGGAATGCCGACCACAGGGATTCCATGGTAGATTGCCTCATAGAGGCCGTTGGTTCCACCATGTGTAATAAAAACTTTGGTTTTTGGATGACCTAGCATTGGAGAAATCAGGGAAAATATTCATTGTAAGTCTTAAGAATAAACTGAGAGAGACTAAAAGGCACTGAATGGTGAAATATATTCTAGATAACTAATAATTATAATCATAAAACTGCAAGGAAGGCTCCAGAGATTGATGGTTAAGAATTCTGGATGCTCTTTCAAAGGAGTGGGGTTTGGTTTCCAGCACTGAGAGGACAGCTAAAAACCATCCTTAACTCCAGTTTCAGGGAATCTTGTGCCCTCTTCCAGATTCTGTGGGCACTGTATGCATGTGGCTCACTTACAACATGCTGGCAAAACCATAATACACATAGAAATAAAATTAAAGTCAATTAAATACTTTTTAAGTGCGCTTAAATTCCTTTCAAATCTTAGAGAGAGAAGCACCATAAGTCCTCTCACGATTAACTGAAGGACACATGGTGAAGAGGTATTGTTTGAAAGATAGAAATGAGTCTGTGCAAAGGACAGGAAGGGCAGAAAAGGCAGGACACATCCCAAGTAGAGCAAACAGCATATGCACAGTCAGGGAGAGACAGGAGAATATGGTTGCCTGGAGAAATGATGAAGTCACTGTGTGTAAGGTGTCACTTCCAATCAGCAGGAAATGGGGGTTCATGGTGCTGGAATCAAGTTAGGATTGCAATATTTCACCATTAAATGCTGTTCCTTCTTTGGAGTGCATTGTTTTTTGGCATGGTAAGTAAGAGTCAGTCAGTGTACAAGAATGTCATTTTCATTGACATTTGAAATTGTCCTACATTGACGAAAGGATACTGTGAAATTATAGAACTATAAGGAAGAGAGACAAATAATGAAGTGAATGAAAATTTATCTGAAAGATAACTACAGCTGAAATAAAAATGGAGGCTGCTCATGTTGAGTGTTACAGAGTGGAATAGAATATCATCAAATGTTATTTAACCATTTTCCCTGGGACTAGAGCATAATCTTCATACATGCATTTTTCATTGACCTCTTCTGTTTCTGACTGGTATTCCTCATGTTTCAGGGTTTTTCTCTTGAGCCTTACCAAGAAGGTCATTCTGGGGGATCCACGGGTACAGCCGAGTATTGGAGCCTAGGGTGTCCGGCTTCTTCCCTTCAAATCTCCATAGAACCTGTTAAGATAAAGCTAGACTCTTAATGGATTGGGGGGGGGTGTAGGGAAGCCTGAGGGCAATGTGTTTTCTATGAAACCACCTGAGAAATGCTCATACTACATACAGTGTCTGAACATTAGTGCATATGTATATTTGGGGGCTGTGTGGGAAGGAACATAGTGCCAGGCAGGAGAGACTTCCCTTCGAGTGGTTGGTCAGATTGGTCCAAAGACTCCCCAAATAACACAGGCTATTGTCAGAGCTCCTGGTTATCTCCCAGAACTGGAAGGTTAGACCCTGCTGCTGAAAACGGGACATATTTTGGACACAGGATTTGGAGCAATACAACAGGAAATGACCTGGAAGACGTCTACATGCAGTTTAGCTCTCACAGTTCTAGAGGACACTATGTAAGCTGCTAAGGGATAAAAACAATCAATGGTCTAAACCAGCCCTAAAACCTAATAACCATAATGTCTGGCAGAGCAAACTACCTCTGTTGGTGCAGCAGTAGCACCGTTATTTGGGGACTAATCAACAGCTGTCTAATTGGACTTAAAGCCCTCTCAATGAGAGTGAACTCAGGGGTGTGACTGTAAACACAGCCAAATAAACATGCCCAGAGAGGTCACAGATCCTAGAGAAAATCATATCTCTGTCATATCGCTAAACAAAGGAAATTTCTTGCCATATCCTCAATATGAATATTAATGGTGACAGACATGAGTAATGTACACCAATCATCAAAGACACTACTTTTTGCAATAGATGGAGGCTACTGCAGGATCCCACTACTGGTCAGACACAGACAATATACATTGGAGAGATGCCCAGTCCTAGCTGACATACCTACAATCAAATCTCTACAGCTAAAGCTCATGTAACATAGTGGAACTGCGAATAGAGAGAAAACTAGGGCATCCGTCAACTCTCACCAGTGAAGAGTCCTTATACAACAGAGTGCGATGCACGCAGAAGCCAAGTTTTAAATAATAAGAGACTGCAGAGTGTATCCCAATAGGACTCCTATATTAAACCTCACCCACCCATGGCTCAGGGACCATTGTGGAAGAGGGAACAGAAAAATGGTAAGAGCCAGGTTGATTCATTAGCATAGGGAAACACAGGCTTCCAGGCCACTGGAAGCTTGCACATGTGAACTTGTGGCAGTGATGGCATCGAGTACAGGACCCATGCCAACTCAATCTGGCAAGGGCTCAGAGTGGAGCAAGGGAAATGGGTGGTGGGCTGGCCCTAGTCTGGGAAGTGTTAGAGACTGATTACTACTGGGTGAGGCTGAGTAGACCTTACTTACAGTCTCTAGGTAGGCTGACTAGACTCCAGTGGATGAATTTGCACCAAAGGATATCTGGGTACAATTGCTTGACTGGAAAGAACTTAACATGTATGGTGAATACATCAGGTCCGGTGGGTGGTTTGGGGGGCATTGATGGGCAAAGGGGTCTAAATTTAAATAGTTTCTGTTGTATGAAATATACAAAAACTCAATAAAAAATTTTAAAAAAATCAAATTACTTATGCTAGTATTCTAAAGAAGTTAAGAAATAATATAGTTAAATGCTTAATATCTCAGAGCTAGGCAACAAGAATGAGGCTGATAAACCTGAAGAATCAGCTATAGTTGATGCAAGTACAGTACACATTCCCCTATTTGTTTTCATACATGTTCAACGCCTGACATGCAACAATGATATTTAATAAACAGTAACTTAAGCAAAGGGGCCCATCAGTATTACATTGGTGGATTTAGGAAATTTGTGATTATAAGTCTAGTACAATAACCAACAAAAGTTACTAATGACCTATACCTTTATTTAGTTTTATCAATCAACATTTACAGGAGTTCGTGTCTCAAAAATTCGGGATCAATATTTCTGCATGATAGTTGATGTAGTTTACTTATAGCATGTTCATCATGTTACTTTACTCAAATTTGGCCCATCTGATTCAACACTTTCTAAGGTACATGGTGCACTTCAAGAGCAAGTTCCTGACTCCATTCTCTTGCATTTCCCTATTCTAATATACATACCCAAGATGGATTGGTTTTCCTTCCTCCAATACTGTTTAGTTTGGTGAACTTGAGATTGGTGAGTTCTGGCATACGTTTTTAAAATAACAACCAAGACAGTACTTGATAGGTCCATTTCAAAATGTAGTAAAATAGATGAGACAGATTATACAGGAATATTGCACTCTGATAGAACTCCAACCTTTGAACGCTAGTGTATAGTTACTGCTAAAAATTTAACTGCAGTCATTACATTTACTGTGTGCAAAGTCCTCAGTTATTTTCTGAGGATACGGAGGAATAAGAGAGCAGATTTTTGTATCTTGGCATAATACTATTGCAACAGAAAGTTCACACTACACTCCTTCAGTGTACTTCTTGCTGAATCAAAGGTATTAATCAAAATATCCTTTACTTCAGCATCTGTCATATATATTTTTGTCTTTCAAATGATTTCAGAGATAAACTAGTACTATCATGATAGTTTAAATTTCACGTAGGAAGTTTCTAGAGTCACACCTATCACCCTGTGTAATGGATTCAGGAAGCAGTGATGTGATGAGGCACTCCACCTCACCTTTTGTGGAATCTGGGCAAGGGCTGCTGCAATCACATTGGCCCTGTCTTCTGTCAGGTTGCCAACCATGGACCCCAGAGAAAACACCACAACACCATGTTCTCCAGAGCTCTGGACAAAGTCTTCCATCTCCTGTGAATGAAACATTGATTCATCACAAGGAGCATAAGTACCAAAGCCTGTTGTAAAGAATGATACAAATGTACAAGGAAGAACGTGGAGCATTATTAGAAATCCTTAGAGTCTGGCTTTCCTGAGAATTGCTGAGGTATACACAGTACACATGCAATCCTGAGAGGAGCACTGCTGCAGTCGCTGCCACATCTAGGATTTCTGGCTCTCTTCGCTTTAAATTCGGGTGTCATTTTTGAATAATCAAAAGCAGCAGAAATGAGTGCTATCAGGCCAGCATTTTAAAAGCAGAAAAAGAGATGAAAAAGAGAGGTTTGACACTACTCAGTTCAAAGACTGTATTATTTAAGGCTTAATTGAAACTGGTACTGATTTGGGAGCAGTAGCTAAGTTTCTTGATGCTTCTGGAGCAAAACTTGACAACCGCGGCTACACAGAAACACTTTGACATCTTGGTGCCCGGTGTAATGCTGGCCCCAGGTAGTACACTGGCAGATGATGAGGACAGATGTCTGGTATTTGCAGCACAAGAAGACCCACAGACCATACAAGCATTTGCTCAGGTTTTTAACAAGTTAATCAGGTGCTACAAATACCGTGGTCCTTTGACTACTATGCTTCTTCTTTTGGTGTCTATAATTTTGATTAGTCTAGGTAGTTCATGTAGTATTTTCACTCTTTCGCTAGCTGATTTTACTTAGTGTAATGTCATTAAGGTTCCTTAATGATATGTGTCCCTGTAGGAATTCTGCGTTCCTATTCCCAAAGTTTTAAAGGCTTCGTGATATTTCTGTTTATCACATACTACATATTTATCAACAAATCTATCAATTGATACCTGGTTTATACTGCTTCTCCCTTTTCAGGAAGAGAGTTGCTATGATTATCCTTGAACAAATATCTCTAAGAGATCCTTTAATCCTGTCTCTTATATTTATACAGAAGTGGAATAGATGGACCATAAATGTATTTCTCATCTTGTTAGGAACCTCCATACTCTTTTCAACAGTGGTTGCTTTTTAAACAGTTTTGTTGGAAAGATATTTGAAGTGTGATATCAACCTTTTTACTCTGCATGTGAAACTATATGTGTGTATATGTGTCTATAAAAGTATGTTTCTACTCATGTGTTTGATCAAGAAAGTAAACATAAACCTTATACATGTGTGAAAATGGTTTTTTCCCTGACCAAACTTTATCAGTCATCTCTGAAGTCATTTTGTATGTAAGACGTGGATTTTGGATGCCCTCCCAGTATTTAGTGTTTGTGTGTTCTTCTTTGAGGACTCAAATTTAGCTAACAGCCCTTTAATAACATCTTGTTAAATTAGTGCAACTCAAATGCCAACATTGGTTATGATCATCCTTTATGTAACAAGAAAAAGATTTTTGAAATCAATTTTGAGGTAATATGCTATTATACTACACAGAGTTAAACATTATATCAGGTTATTTCCTCTTTAACCCTGTGTAGATGATAAACCATAGCAAACTAAAAATATAAATTTATAATGTATTATTACTAAAAGAAGACCCTACTTACCCAAAATCAGTAACAGCAATCATATTTTATTTGCCCAAAACTTATACTTGTGTTCACATGAAAAGAATTTTGCCTCCTCTATATTATAACCGTTTTGAATATATTTAATTTATATAAGTGATCAATCAATTCTAAGTCAATTGAATAGAAATTTAGGGATTCTTAAGCTTAGTGATTCTATCTGGATATAGAACAATATCATTTATACATGATACAAACATGCATAAGTATACATGCACAAAATTGGAGCTCTACTTCCCTTCATTCAAAAATTTTGGCTCTGGGTGACTCAGCACAGCAATAAAACCTCAGTTCCACACTATATTCCATCTGAACTTTAGGACAAGTTGGGGTTACTTTCTCAACAAAGGTTTGAACCAGTATTTGTGAAGAAGGCTTTTTTATATTTTCTCATCTCCTCATCTGGAGGGCTAATTCTATAGAGGCTATCGCCTACATTTTAAGCTGAGGTGGCAGGCATCTCACAGCTGTCTGAGTGTCTTTAAAACTATTTTACTTTATATATATATATATATATGAATGCATTGCCTGCATGTTTGTAAGTGCATCTGTGTTGCGCAATGCTAGTGGAGGTCAGAAGAGAGCTTCCAATGTCCTGGAATGGGAGTTACTGTCAGTTGTGAGCCTCCATGTGGATGCTGGGAACTGAACTTGGGTCCTTTGCAAAAGTAGCCAATGCTCTTAACCTGTGA